CTTCTCTCTAGAATATTCTAGAAGTTTCCACATGAATCTAGAATACTCCGGAAAGATCTAGAAGGTACTGGAAAGACCTAGAAAAATCCAGAAGATTCCAAAATATCCTAGAAGGTTCCGGAACATTAAAGAAGTTTGGAGAAAACTAGAGAAATCTAGAAAGTTTCGGAAAGTTCTAGAATATTTTAGACAATAATAGAAAGCTCTAATATATAATAGAGTAATCTAGATTGTTCTAGAGTGTAAGAAAAGTATTAGTGTATTCTAGAAAGTTTTTCAACTAATATAAATATGAGATGAGTGCATGTACTAAGAAATTGGACAATTGGACAATTGAGTGAAAGAAGAGTGAGTCCAAAGTGAGTGGTCAAGCACTATCTAGTGTGAAGTGTCTCAAGGTCTTGTGTGAGGAAGACACAGAGTGTGAGTGCTTAAATGTATGTGTGAGTGGATAAGTGGAGTGTACTAGTGAGTGATTGTGTACAAATGTTTTGTGTACTAAAGTGTTTTCAATAAAGGTTGTATTTCTGGGTCCACCAGGGTGTCAAACTCAACAAAATCTACCCTCCATCGAAGACGACATTGCTGGTTGACAGTGAATCTACTCTCTATCGGTGAGTTCCTCTTCTTCTTCTTCGATTCTTCTTCCTCTTTCTTCTTCTTCGATTCTTCTTCCTTTTTCTTCTTCATTGGTGAGTTTTTTTCTCTCCAAATTTTTGTTTCTTCGATTCTTTCAAATTCTTCCTCTTTCTTCGATTCTTTTTTCTTTAGATTCTTCTTACTCTTTCTTCTTCTTATTCCTTTTTTAGATTTTTTTTCATATTTCCAATTTGTTTCATGTATATATATATATATATTACATTTTTTTCCCACAAAGCAACTAAAATTTGATGCAAACTACAACCTTATTCCAAAAAATTAGGCAATGTAAAATCAAATCACCCACTTTGTGCCCTTTCTTCTTACTGTTGTAGTCTTGTATTGTAGTAGACATTTAGAATTATATAAAATAAAAGATAAAAAAAAAATTAATTGCTTTCATCATAGTATTGATGCTTTTAAATTGTTATTTGAAAATTACAAGAGTGAATGAAGTGAAAGAATTCACAACTTATTTTGTTAATAATGGTTATAGGAATATAAGTTCATGATGAAGTATAAATTCAACTGCAAGTATTGTTAGTATTGTTAAATGATTAATTTTTTTATTTTTTAATTATGATATTAAACTTTGATTTGTATATTGGATGTTTAGCTATAAATTTAAAAAAAAAAATTAATGTACCCCAGTCGTACCCGTAGCTTTTTTTTTTTTTTTTGAATATGCCATATCGATGTACCCGTATGGTACCCGTACCCGTACCCACACCCGTGCTTCCTAGCTAAGGATACTATAAAATTTAAATAGACATTATATTCAAAAGAATAGTTTGGATATATTTGTCAATTCAAATTCATCTTTTAATAATAACAACTTTAGCTAACTTCTATGTGAGTGATTTTTATGCCAATCCAACAATCATAGCAGTGACTTTAAAACAGAATGATCCCAATACTAATTTCCATTAATGAAACATAGAAATAAAAGCATTGTTGTCAAGGAAGAAAATCTTACCAACTAATTTTTTGATATCTTAGAATGGAGACATCATTTTACAAAGTCATTTTCTAAAACAAAAACAGAGAACCAAAAAAAAAAAAAAAAGAGGGGGTGTGTTTGAGAATTTGAGTCTCTCAAGATGTCCTCCTCTTTCCTTAGTTACACAAGAACAATGACAAGGAACTTGATTAGTGTATGAGAGGGTTCAAGAACGTCGTTGGAAAAATTCGAAGATCTTCGAAGATCCTTGAAGAACAACTTCGAATTCTCTAGAAAATGATGAGAGGCTTAGATTCTTCAATAGTCTCAACTCAAGAACACAAAAGAGAAAAGGAGATGATGGAGATAAGAGATTGGGTGAAGAATAAAATCATATAGTGAGGTGAATGAGATTTACAGCCAAGACCTTCAGTCTGGGAAATAACATTTTTACCACTAGAGCAGCACACGTGTGCTTTTAGAACAAAATCAAAATACATATTTTTCATATTTAACAGCTAGCAAATATGTCTATGTGAAAGGTTATCTGTTATGATGATATTTAAGTGCTTGGTTTTGATAGACTTGTTTTGAAGTTGGTGGTTTGTAAGCTCTTTTTTCATTCTGTGCTTTGTTAAATTTGATCTTTATATTGATGGCATGATGGGTTTTTAGTTTGCTTTTGATGGGTTAATGCATATACACACATGTTGGTTTGCTATGAAATCACAAAGCTCCATTTGAATTGTTGTTTTCGAAATTGGTTTGTGATTAAACTTGATAAATTGTAAGAGATTGATCGTGTATGGAGGTTTGAACAGAGAAATAAGTAGGATATTCATGTAGTTATTTCAAATTTGTCAATGTAATGATAGATTATATTAAGGATTTTACTTCTATAAAGACTATCACTCTACATTCAATATCTAGTATTCTTATAACTTAACGAAGTTAAGCCTATTTATAGTTTTCTTAATTTCTTTTCATCTCTTCCATTGATATTCGAGTCCATGGAAATCTGATTTGGCAAGAATAATTACCATACATAAATACATGCATGAAAATAACATAGTTTGATATTGTGCAACAGACCATAAATATGAAAATTGGGATATAATTACCAGGATTTGAAGCTGTGGTACCAGAACGTTGGCTTGGACAGCGTTAGGACTATGCCGACAGTAGCACAGTGTAATACCAATTCCACCAAGAAGAGATATATGTATATCATAGTTGTCAACTCGGGATTTGAATTGTGAATCGTAAATACTCGGTCACCTTTTTTTTAAATTACTTAGAAAAATATATTTACATATTTGGATTTTAAATGTATTTTTCTGAACATAAAATATTTAGATTTAAATTAATAAAAATAATTTTTTGAATGATGATCACATAGTTTAATAGGTAAGAAGTTAACAAAATTTTTTAGGTAAGATCATCACCTTACCTTTTCCTTTTTTTAGATATTTCTTGTCAACAATTTTTAATAAAGGCAGTAAACAAAGACCAACTTTCAATTTCTAAAGTAACAATAATTTAACAACGATATTAATATTTAGACAATAAACATACATATTTTTTCAAATAACAATAACCAAATAACAAGAAAAAATTATTTAGGATATTTTATTTTTAAAGCTCAAAATAGTTTAAAAGGGATAACTAACATCACCCATGTAATATTAAACTATATTTAATTTAATAAAATAACAATAGATAATTCATAGTGTAAGTTACTTTAATTTTAAACATCTTTAGAAGATGTATTATGATTTTTTTAAAAGGAAAAAAATGAAAAGAAATGTTAAAAACATGTTAAGTCTGCTTAAATCTGATTGGATCTTATTAAAAACTCCATGACGACAAAAATAATAACAAATCATGTATATATATTTGTTATTTTGGTACTAAATGCTATTAGAAGTTGTATTATATTATTTTCAAAAAAAAGATGGAGAAAAAATAGTCGAAAATACGTCGGACACGATAGTTTCAAGAATTGTATGAATCGTGAAAAGTGAATCGAATCATGCTCATTAAAGATTCAGTTCTAAAATAGATTCACTTATTGATTCATATTGATTTTACAAAAATTACAAATCAAATCGTGAATCGAATCGCGAATCATAAGATTTTAATAACAAAGACATATATATATATATATATGTGTGTGTGTGTGTGTGTGTATTTTGTGAGAAATCTAATGCTTGTTGCAGAAGCACATGGCATAGAAGACAAAATTCACACTGCAGCCATCATCATGAAATTTGCAGTGTTGTAAACTTGTAGCACGTGAAATTGACTTTGAAAAAATAGATAGGAAGCACCGATACTGGAAAATTCTAGGAGGATGCCTAGGTTATTCGGTGAGGAAGGAGTAGAATTCTTCTAGTAGACAACCAAGCGGTTCCATTTGTCTCTGTAAAACGTTAGACAGCTAGCAGAAAAATGTTAGGAAGCAAGCAGCAGGAGCGTTATAATGCGTTAGAACGTGGTTAGGATCCGTGCTCATACATGCGAGTAGTTAATGAATTTAATCTAGCATAAATCAAGTAGTCTTCAGGATGTGTCCGGTCACCAGTAACAAAAATGTGGACTCGATCACTGAGTTCAATCCAACTACACCCTGGCGCCTTTTTCACATTTTGTTGCTTCATTGTATATCTCACTTCTGAAACCTCCTCATATCGACCAACTGAGCCATAAATGTTTGACATTAATACATAACTTCCAGAGTGTTCTGGTTCAAGCTCATACACCTGCTGTGCAGCAACCTCAGCCAAAGTTGCATTCCCATGGAGCCGACATGCTGCTAGGAAAGACCTCCATACCACTGGATTGGCCTCAATTGGCATAGCTGACACCAGTTCATACGCCTCCTCGAGCTGCCCAGCCCTACCAAGCATGTCAATCACGCAGGTGTAATGTTCAATGGTTGGAACCACCCCATATTGTGACTGCATCTGCACAAGAAACTCTTGGCCTTGGCTTACGAGGCCTACATGGCTGCATGCTGACAAAACTCCAACAAAAGTCACCTCATCAGGCCTCAATTGTGCCTCACACATGCCATAAAACATATCTAGCGCCTCACCTCCAAACCCGTGCATGCCATACCCCACAATCATGATATTCCATGATGCCACATCTTTGTAGTTCATCTTATCAAAAACCAAACGAGCTTCCCTCATACTCCCGCATTTTACATACATATCCATAACGGCATTTTTAACATACACATCATCATCTTTATCATCACCATCTTTCTCCAATTCATTGATAATCACGTAACCATGAATCTCCCTACCATGCATCAACGCTGCCAAATGAGTGCAAGCCGGTAGGACAGTAGTGACTGTGACCAAATCAGGTTTAACCCCAGCTCGTAACATCCTATCGAAAAACCTCAAAGTTCCACCATGATCACCAAACTGTTCTTGAACACATAATATAGAGTTCCATGAAAATATATCCTTCTCTGGCATCATCTCAAAAATCTTCAATGCGTCCTCAACCCATTTGCATTTTCCATACAAATCAATCAGTGCATTTAAAACTGCAATACCAGAATCATAACCCATTTTCATTGCAAAACCATGAATTGCCCTCCCATTATTAAGGTCCCCCATCATAGAAAAAATTGATAAGATCCCAGTAACTGTAAAATTACTCAGAACAACCCCTTCTTCAACCATCTTCTTACAAGCCTCCAGTGCCCTGCCAAGCTGCCCAATTTGTGCAAACCCATTAATCATTGCATTCCATAGCACAACATCTCTGATGGGCAATTCCTCAAACAGTTGATGTGCCTCATCCGTGAAGCCAAACTTCAAATAAGAATGAACCAAGGCACTTCCAACAAAGATATCCAGCTCCAACCCAAATTTAAACAGCAATCCATGAACCTTCCTACCTTCTAAAATCTCCTTAACATCTGAGCATGCCTTAATTACACATGGAAACGTAAACTTGTCTGGCCTAATACCTGCCAACCGCATTCTCCAGTAAGATTCCAATGCAGGTCTCGGCATGTCATTGGCGATGAGCCCAGCTACAATCGCATTATAAGCAAACGGGTTTTGGTTTTGGTGATGGGTTGACGTATCAAAAATCGTTAAGGCATCGGTGATGCTATTACACTTGGAGTACATGTTGATAAGGCTAGTTGTTGATAGCGGGGAGCTTAGGTAGCCACTGATGAGAATGTAGGCATGGATTTCTTTTCCTTTCCTGAGGTTCTTGTGTTGGGCACATGCTTGCAACAATGCAATCAGTGTTGTCAAATTCATCCCATATGGGTATCGCATTGTTGGTATTATTAAATATGAGAACAATTTTGACCTTCATAACTTCATTTTCTCTTTTGTCTTTAGCCATATAGTCAATGTTACTACTCTAAGAGCAAGAGCATAGTATCAGCTTCGATCAGCAACTGAGATAGGGAATTGTTAGTTGCACTAGGAGGGAGTTGATTTTTCTCTGCCAAAACACGACTGTATTACAAACAGTGTGTATCAGAGCAATTCCATGGAAAAGCATTAGCCCTGCCAAAATCATTTGTTTTGTTTACACATAAAAAATTATTCTCTCAATATTGAGTCAAATGCTTTGTCAAAAAATAATAAAACTAAATTTTAAGTTATCTGACTTGAAGTTTGATAAAGTAAAATCATGATCACAACAAAACTAAATCATGATCACAAGAGAAAATTTTAAGAGTAACTGTAATGGCCAAAAACCATTGAAGTGGAATAACTACAAAATAATTTCAAAGTATTCCTCCTGTCTCTACTATTAACAAATTGACAAAAAGTGCTCATGTCAAGAAACGTGAGCACATCTAAGGGCATTTAAGGGAAGGGGGGGGGGGTTGTGTTTGTTTGAGGAAAAAAAAAAAAACCTCTAACTTTCACTTAAATCCTATTTTGGTCTTTCATTTTTCAACATTCACTCAAATTTAAAACGGTGACGTAAAAAAGGGACTACATGAAACTCATGTTCAAGTCTAAAGAATTAGTTGTTACAATAAATAGGCGAGGGACCAAAATGAAATTCAGGTGAAAGCTAAAGGGCGAAGTGTAATTTACCCAATATATTTTTCCTCTAACGATCTAGTTAATATTATTGTAAATTGTATACTTTTCTTGTAAAAAATTACTTCCTATAAACTAATTGAGTGATTATTTTATATAGAATGACATTAAAATAAAATGACCCTTAAAATGATATTTAATCACAAAAATGCTACTACTAGGTCATTCTAGTGAAGAAATTTGTATAAAAATTATATGTAAGAATAATATTTTCCTATCTCCATTCTCATTCCAAAAATTCTCCAAGCCAACAGGGGGAAAAACAATATCGAGCCTAATGGGTCGAGCCGCGGGCTTGAGCTCAGGTCGGGCCTGGTGGGCCAAGCTCACAAGCCAGGCCTCAAAATAGATGCCTAGGCCTAGGATCTAGGCCCGGGCTGCGGACAGGTTTTGGGTTTGCTAAGGGATTAGCAAACCCAAATCCTCATGATATTGGTACTCCCCTCTTTGAAAGAGTTTTATAGTCTCGTAAGACTCTTAAACCCATAGCAATTTTTGAAACAAATTTTTGGGCTTTACTTTTACTACTAATTCAATTTCACCCCTTCAACTCTGCAAAGAAACAGGGAAAATGTTTTGCATGGCAAAGTCTCCAACTACGTGTGATATTTAAGTTTTTACTGCTGAGTTATACATCTTTTATGGAAATAATAATAATAATAATAATAATAATAATAATAATAATAATAATAATAATAATAATAATAATAATAATAATAATAATAATAATAATAATAATAATAATAATAATAATAATAATAATAATAATAATAATAATAATAATAATAATAATAATAATAATAATAATAATAATAATAATAATAATAATAATAATAATAATAATAATAATAATAATAATAATAATAATAATAATAATAATAATAATAATAATAATAATAATAATAATAATAATAATAATAATAATAATAATAATAATAATAATAATAATAATAATAATAATAATAATAATAATAATAATAATAATAATAATAATAATAATAATAATAATAATAATAATAATAATAAATTGGGAAAAAAGCTTGAATATCCAATTCTAATAAAATAGACTCCTAATTCTTCTAATAATGACATAATGTAACCAAAAATTTTAACCTCAGGCAAAGATGAAAGCTTTTAGAGTCAAAACCAAGATCAAAATGCAGAAAAGTTACCCAAAAAATATCTTCAAAATTACTTTACAAAATACTCAGAAAATGAATTGTATAATGTAGATTTAAACTTAATATGGTATAAATCACGCTTAAAATAAAACATTTGATCTACACATTTTACTTTTGAAATATTTTTTAAAAAAAAATGCTTAACTTTACACAAGTGAAATTAGTTTCCCAATTTTCTAAAGCATGCTATGTTATAGTCAAAATTGGCGCCATAAAATAATGGATCAAACCCATCAGAGACTCAGTTTTACCATGATCTCTCTGTCTCTAAAAATCAATAAAATTCAATCCATTATTCCATATCCTCTCTTACCCAAATTTATTCAAAAAAACTTTTCAAAATTTACTCCAAAGCCTACGGCCTATTTTCATATTGTACAATATTCATCACATCTTCAAATTTTTAGAGATAACCCTATGGTGTAAAATTACATTTACTTGACTAATTATAAAGATAATGACAATTTTTTAATTAAAATTTTAGTCGAATTAATCGAGGTCTTAAGAACAGCTACATTTTGTTAAGAGATTGAAGAAATTTTAAGAAAAGCATATTCTTTCCTTAGTTTAATTTTATTAACTATTTTTGTTAAATCATTATACAATTGAGTAATCCCCAAATTAACTGTCTTCTAAAATATCATGAACAATACCCACAAACAAAATTATAGAATAGCTTTAAAAAAAATAACCAACAATGCTAGATCAACATGGAATAGAACACATTCATGTCATGTATTTATGCCATATATTTCAATCACAATTATTGAAAACAAAAAGAATCAAATAAACATATATTTTTTGATAGGTAAAGAAATAAGCATAAATTGATAGATGATAGATGATAGATCAGTGTCACAATATGATTGAATTTTTAACAGAATTGCCCAAAAAAAGTCATTCAATAAAATATTTGAACAACAACATATAGCACACTCTAAGAACAAAAATTTCAACACAGCTCACAAAATTTCAAAAGAGGGGGGGAAAAAATTAATAAAAGAGGCCAATATTAAACTATGAAAGAAACAACGTATAAAATTCTCACTTCAAACATCTAATCAACCAAAAAAAGTCAATAAATACACACACCATGATCCCAATTTTTGCACCAAAACAATTCCAGCACATAAATTATCACAATGAAAACATAACAAAAGCAAACATTAAGGGGACAATTGTTGGCGTAAAATTGTGGAAACATAGCAACGTTGGTGGTGACAAACATATGAATCAACCATGATGTCCATGAGTTACAAAGGTATCTGCTTTTGTTCTTCAGTGGGACTTCGGAATATGGAGATGGAAAGAGAGGAGTGTCAGAGTGGAGTGTCAGAGTGGGGGAGTTTTTCAAGTTTTTAATGGGTGTGAGGGTCTTTTGATATCATGCAAAAGTCCCATTTCATCTCTAATTCTTATACCATAAATATCCAATTCAAATTTCATAAAAAAAAAAAGGATAATAGTTGGATACAATCCTTATCCTGCAAAGTGGAAGAGGAATAAGATGGGAACTTGGGAAATGAATAGGGAAAAGGAGTTCAGTTCAATGAAGGTAAAAATAAGATAAAATGAGTTTCAAATTTCCCCTGCATTTAATCCCAAAAAAAAATAGAAAACGGGTAAAAAGGAAACATGAAAGGCAATCAAAGAGGGCACCAAATAGGAGATAACTTCAACATAATGAGAATTTAAGAATAGCCATTTGGAGTTATTTGGGAGCACACTACAATTGTATAGTATATAAGATCAGTAGTACGTTATAATATTATTAATGTTCCACCACCAGATGAATATGAGAAAGATTAGAAACTGGCACAAAAACAATACAATAAAAATTCAAAGTTGAATTCGTTTCAGACAGTAACTAAATGGAACACAAATTAATTTACCACAACATGAAGCAGCTATAGAGTCTGGTAATGTATCTAAGGAGAATTTAAAGAAGATAAGCATCACAATTTAAATGGATAAAATCATTTCGACTCTTTCAGGAAACAGTTAATCACACCAAGACCCACTCAACTATTAGCTATTAGCGAATATCATTACAATAATTCAAAAGACAAAAATCTAGTCTTGTTGCATTATAGTCAAATCCAATTTATACTGAAAATAAATAAACAACAACTACAACAACAAAATATAAAGTTACAATAGGAAATAAAAATTGAACCAACAAAAATTCAGAATCCACATAAATTCAACTCACAAAAATTCACAGAAATTTAACCCACAAAAATATGTAAAATATATATATATATATATATATACAGACAGATTGAAACAAAGTTACATTAGCTTTAGATTCTTTCAAAGAATATGTTTACAGAAATTAAGGAACAAAAATTAGCAAAGAATTAAGGAAAATAAATTCGGTCTAACAAACACATAAACCAAAACTTAAAAGCAATTAAATAAGGGCAAAGAAATTATAGAAATTAGGGATTTTTCAAAAGTGTTTGGGGGTTATCCCAGCCAGCCACTCATCATGAGTAGGACAGAAATGCTATAAACAAAAAAGGACAGAAAGTAGGGAGAGGGAGACAACTCACCGGGCTCTCCTAGCTCGCCGGTCACGGCCCTGCTGTCACTCTCCTCTCGTTGCTTTTTTGGTCACTCTCCAGCACGGGCGACGCTACGTTGTAATGAGGGGTTCAAGTAAACCCCACGAGTATGTTTAAAAAATAAAAAGGTAAACCCTCGGAGCATTGAAAATATTAGATATATAGGATTTTATTTGGGATTAAAAAATAAAATAAAATAAAATATAAATTATTCATGTAATTTAAAAAATTATAATATTTTAGGATAAATTATAAATATACCTCTTCAGATTTTATTAAAATACAAATCGCCTCCTATAATTTTGAAAATTACATTTCACTCTTGAGGTTTCTAATTTCATAACAAATTACCCATTTTGTTAATAAATTATTAAGTTAATTAATAGTTTTTAATGATGTTAAAAGTATATTTTAATTAATAATTTAAGTAATTTTATTATTGTATAAGAGAACAATTATGAATTTTATTTTTTCAGTTAATTCTGTTAAATAAAAAATTCTAATAAGAGGGTATTTGTAATTTTTCAAACCACAGAGATTAATCTGTATTTTAAGCAAACCTCAAGGGGTGTATTTATAATTTATTCAATATTTTATTGTCAAAACTTTTTTTAATAAAATTAAGGGGTATTTTTTTTAAGGTCCCTGATATTATGATTTTATAGTATAAAGGACATCAACTATTTTCAGGATGTCTAAGGTTTCTCAACATCAATCCAGAGAAATTTCAGTCCCAGAGAAAATTCGATCAGAGAAAATTCAATCCAGAGAAAATTCAACCATAGAAAATTTAATCCAGAGAAATTCTTTTGTCCAAACCAGAGAAAATTCAATTCAGAAAAATTCAATTATGTCTAAAATTTACCTCTCATTCTAGCCAAAATAAAGTGTACAGTTCTAGAAACTAAAGAACGAGAAAATGAAAAACATGAGTTGCAGAGATAAATCTCTCAACAGCAACGGTATACGGACACAGCTCGTTCCCTTGAAGGTGGCATGCACATAATCACCAGGATGAGTATGAGAACAATCAGCATAAGAGTTGACTTGATAGCTGGAGCTTCGTCTTCACCTTCTGCCATGATCAACACTTCTTGCTCAAGCTTTCTTCTTCTTTAGTTTGTTTCTCTGTAAACTGTCAGTTTGATGCTTTTGCTTGTTCTTGTACTTTGTCCAGAATAAAATGTGAAGTTGTGGTTAACAACCAAGTTGACTTGTTAATTATTTAGTGCCTGAGTTGGGAGCGTACATTGAATTTGTATTTAGTTTCTTTGAATTTGCATTTAGTTTCTTTGAATATTTGACCTAAAATTCAGTTCAAATGAAAAAAAATAATCGAAATAGACGTTTTGTGAGCTAAATTACCAGAGAAATTCTCAACCCAGAGAAAATTCTCAACCTAGAGAAAATTCAGTTCCATTGCCAAATACTCCTGGAAGCTTGAACCCAGAGAAATTTGAGAAATTCTACTACTAAGAAGGTGGAGAATTTTTAAAAAAAGAAAAAGAAAAAAAACCTATTTTAACCTCCTTCACTTGTGCATGTGTTTGGTCTCCGAGAAACCGTGGGAAAATTACTGAAAATTTTTAGATTCAGTGCTGTATTTTGGTTGTAAGTGGCTGTACTGATGTTTCAAATTTTCAAATTCGAAGCATCAATCGGAGCTCCGTTTGACGGGGTCTGGTAACCCTTTCACATTGATTCCCTTTCCAATCTTCTTCTTGCCCAACAAAACCACGCACCTGAAATCGAGACAGAAACTTGATTTCTAGAGAAAGAGAGAGAGAAAGGGAGGGACAGAAGGGAGTAGAGAGAGAGAGAGAGAGAGAGAGAGAGACCCCTATAATTTTGAAAATTACATTTCACTCTTGAGGTTTCTAATTTCATAACAAATTACCCATTTTGTTAATAAATTATTAAGTTAATTAATAGTTTTTAATGATGTTAAAAGTATATTTTAATTAATAATTTAAGTAATTTTATTATTGTATAAGAGAACAATTATGAATTTTATTTTTTCAATTAATTCTGTTAAATGAAAAATTCTAATAAGGGGGTATTTGTAATTTTTCAAATCACAAAGATTAATCTGTATTTTAATCAAACCTCAAGGGGTGTATTTGTAATTTACTCAATATTTTATTGTCAAAACTTTTTTTAATAAAATTAATTACAAAAATAAAATTCTTAATTGCTCTTTTATATAATAATAAAATTATTTAAATTATTAATTAAAATATATTTTGACATCATTAAAACCTGTTAATTAATTTAATAATTTATTAATAAAAAATTTATTAATTAAAAAGTTAGAAAGTTCAAGAAACAAAATATAATTTCCACAACTATAGAAAACGATTCACATTTTAAACAAAATTAAAAAATGTATTTATAGTTTACCTCTTTTTTTTTCTTTTTTTTTTATGTATTGAGGTGAGTAATAGTTTTCAATTGAACCCTAACTTTTTCTTTGAATCCTCTTATTTGTACTTGAACTATAGTGGCCCGAGTTAGAAAAACCCTATTTATTTTAGTTTCTAGTAGGGACACGTTGTTGTCTGGTATTTTTGGTTTTTTCTGGTGGGTATGGACCTTGGGAGTGCTTCGGGCTGGCTGCTGGGCAGCAGCCTAATATTGCTGGGTCAGGCAAGTCGTGCAGCAAATAGGGCCTAATGTTCGCGCCCACAGCCTATTTTCCATGTAAGTGGGTGTTGTGTTCAAAAATATTTGTTTTTAGCCTCATCCATTCTCTCTCTTTTTTTTCTCTCTCTCTCTCTCTACTGTTTCACAATTTTTGGATTCTTTGAAATTCAAACCTTGATTTCATCTCTTTTTGATCATCCCTCACCCTAAGTGCCTTAGACTTTAGTGTAGATGAGGTAGAGGGCTTCATTTTAATCTGGTCAAATCGTGCTTTCATCACTGCCAATTTTGGGACTTTTGGGCTTTCTCCTCTTCTAGAGTTGAGGTAGGGATTTCCTTATCAATCTGCATGCTACGTAGCTTCGTTATTTGCTATTTTTTTTTTTTATATAGTTAAGGGTCTGTGAAAAGTTAGCTTTTGGTTATATTGTATAAATGCATTAATTTGGGGCAAAGAGCTTTCTTTTCAGTTGTGGTTTAAAATTGGTAAGCTAGTAATCATTGTGTAATGAGATTTTGTAGAAAATTGTGTTTTGAAAAGAAATCTCCAAAGTTTGACAAAACTAGGATGGCTGATGTTTTGGAAAGTGGTGTGGAATTGGGTGTGTTGTGGGGTTTTTGAGAAAAGAAGTTTGGGTGTTAAACGTTTTTTGGGTTTTGGAAATCACCGAGTATGGATTACTCTTTTTGGGAAGAAAAAAAAAGGGTAATTGTTAAAAAGAATTAATTGGATGTTTTAGGAAAATTTTATATTTTCGGTTGAGATTCACAAGACTCGTAAGGAGTGTGCATGTGTTTTTAGGAATCGTAGAGATTTTGTATAAATCATTGGGATTTCGATTTTGATATCATTTTGGATATTGTTGTTGTTATCGTTATTGTTATCTTTTAATAATGGCATTAGAGATAATTGTTTTGACAACCGATGGAGGGTTGTGTTGATTGTTGTACAAATTGCATGTGGATTAGGGATTGGAAATGTTTACAAATCATACATCACATTAAGCATATCATGGATTTATAAACTAGAGATTTTATGTTTGGAAAACGTATTATTGTTTTGAAACACATGTATTGTGTTATTAGAAATGGTAAATAAAATGATAAAATTGTAAGAGGGTGTGGGAATTAATTTAACCTATGTGTCCTTGGTGTAAGACTAAAAACCTGCGCGGTAGGTGCCGATTACATCCGAATAATCCTGGAGAAATGGTATAAATAGCTTGTATAGCTTTCTATTATGATCACTAGCCCTAGAGATTTATTTGTTTTATTTACCAATTTTATCATTTTAAAAAGAATACTGGGAAAAATGTTTTGGAAATTTTGCATCCAATTGTTTCAAAGAGAAAAATGCATGTTTTACCATGGCATCTCATATGCATACACCTTATGCATTGTTATGCATCATACATGTCATTAAGGTTATTTATGTTGGGCTTTATGCTCACCCTACGAAGGAAACCTTTTTTAGGTGGACTCATGTGCCTCCACCAAGGCGATGACTTGGGAGGATCTTAGAGCTTGAGGCTTATATTTATTGTTTTCTTTGTTTATTTTGTTGTAATTTAAGCTATGGGCTTCTTTATATTGAGTTGTGACTCATTTGTTGTAATCGGGCAAGGCCTTGGAAATTTGTAGTCTTTAAGGCATTAACTTGTATGAAACAAATCTTATTTCATGTTAATCATGTCTCAGAATCCCTGTTGTAAAATGGAAAGATAAATAAACGCATGTTAATAGTAAGTTTTCAAAATTTTTATTGATAATATAATGATGTTGTGTGTCTATTTATTTTGGGGCAATACACTTGGTATTAGAGCTTACCGGATTTGAATATTTGGGTACGTGGGAAAGTGGTTATTACCACAATGGGTTTGTCTCACCTAATAGAGATGTGGTATGCTTGGTATGCTAAATGACAACATGTTTACATGGTTAAGTGGGTATGGAATTGGATTCTTAAGATGTTCTTTGTGTCTACTGAATGCTTGGAGGTCTAACTAGAAGGGCACTTGATCAATGTTTGTTCTAATAAGAATTCTTAGGGCTTCATGGAACAAATTATATCTATAATTTGTATGTGATTATGTGATTAAGTGCTTTCGTGGAATGAAATACTATTGTATTTGTTGTTATTGTAATTATAAGACTCCGTTATGAACATGTTTATTTTGTGCTTAGTTTGTTGCGTTGTCTTGCTTAGGAGGTTTAGGTGGGGTTGTGGTGATTTTCTTCCTTCCACACGAGAAGAGTAGAGGAAACAATTTGTGGAGTTGTGCCGGGGTACTACCCCTTTGGCATAGTTTGAGGCGTGGGTTACTAGTTCGTCGTGGTGTGCTCCTGAATTGGTAGAAACCAAGGAGTTTCATTTTTTAGAGTTGAGAAAAGCTTGGATGGTAAGAGAGGGGTTGTGATGTTATTCAGAGAAGGTAGTCGGGTCTGGGCATAGATGTGATAGTGCACTTGGAGAAACAGCGACT